TGTCCTTTTGGGGCCCTCTTGAGAACTCTCTTGGAAGCTTCTTCGGGCGTCTTGGGATCTCCTTGGCCGGTATGGAGGCCAGCTCTGGCGTCTTAGACCGATCGTTCGACGACTCGGGGCCCTCTGGGGCCGTCTCGGGAGCCTATTGGGGTCCTCTTGGCCCGTGTTTGGGCTCTCCTGGGCCCGACAGAGCCCCTCCACGGAAAAGGGTAGACCCCCCCACTCCCCCCCTCCGCGTCAGAGCCAGCCCAGCCCCCCCCCCCTCCCAACAGAGCTGAAGCTCAGAGCTGATGTCAGCTCACACGCTGGATCGGCGGATGACGGGAAGCGCCTCCGGAAGCCTCTGGGCTCAAGGTCACTCAGGGGCGCTGCTCAGCCCGCTGGGGTCGCAAGTCCCCGGCGCTCTCCGAGGACTCTCAGCAACGAACCCTACTTTGCCGTAGAGCAGCCATGGCCGCTTCGTTGCCCAGATTCGGCGTTACTGAGTGGAGGTGAGCGTCGCCGCCATGCCGGGGGCGGCAGAACTGTCAAGTCCAGGACAATTTGCAGACGACTCAGGAGCAGACAGGAAGTTCGGCACTGGGAGCAAGCGGTCGTATCGCAGAGCACTGCGGACGGTTGTACGGTATGGGAGGGCTCGCTACCGCAACCAATTGATCACGCGCAGCGTCGCCCTCGACCGCGACCCGACGTTGCAGACCTCCCTTCCGCCTACGACAACCACCAAGCGCTCGCGCTCCCACAGCCGCTCAAACCACACTGGCCCCACATGCTCAAATCACCCTCTGGTCCTACAACTGTGAGTCTCTTCGCGTGAAGGGCCGATGCGCGGAGCTCCTCAAGATGGCGGCTACTCACGAAGTCTCTATTGTCTGCCTCCAGGGCACGTGCATGGACGTTGGCCACCCCTGGAATACGGAGGATTACAGGCTCCTCTTACTGCCTCGATCAGTTCCGCACGTTCGCGATGGCTGCCTTATCGCCATCAATCTGAAGCACTACGCACTGGACCACATCAGGGTAGTTCATCAGTGGATGCCTGGCCGTATCCAAGGAGCACGGGTCACGCAATCCCACGCCTCACGAGCACCTCACCTATGTCAAGACCTCTACATCCTGAATGCCTACGCGCCGACGAATGAGCCCCCCCACACGCCAATGGGGCACAGCTGGACCGAGCATTTGACACGGCACTGGAAACTGCGCGACCACTTCTGGGCGCAGCTGAGCAAAGTCATAAGCAGCATCCCCGCCCGCGCCACTCTGGTCCTCGCCATCGACGCCAACGGCTCTACTATGTGCAGCCCCCCGTACATAGGCAAGGCTGGAGGCGACCGCAAGATGTTGAAACACTCCTGGAATGAGAATGGCCGCCGGTTCCTCCAAATACTGACGGACAACCGCATGACGGCGCTCAACGCCCATGGCCGTGCTAGTGGGCCGGCAGGCACCTTGTTGCACTCGGACGGCAAATTTTAGACACGAGTGGACTACGTCTGCACGCGCCTCGCGGGCTGTCGTGGGCTCCGAGCCCGCCCCGACTACCGACTCCCCGTGGCCATAGGCGGCTACCGCGATCATCGACCCATCGTTGCCACCATTCGCACTCGCCCTCGGGTTCCGCGTGCTCGTGCGCCACCCCCGCTGCGATGGCACCGCGCGCTCCTCGCCGACGACCTCGAGGCGTGCGACGCGCATGGCGCGGAGGAGCCCACGCGACGCATCCACGCTGTGTGAGGCCATTCAGTCCAAACTGGAGTCAGCGGGCATCGCGGGCGACTGGCAGCAAGAGTGCGGCCCTGGTAGCAGATGCCCTACAGTGAGCGAGTACTGGAACACTATCGAAGGCTTCGCCGTGGACAAGGCGCTTGAATTTTACAAGCTGGACCCCAGGGAGGGCACTCCAAGAATGCCCCTCGCCCAGGCAACGCTGGCCCTGCTTGCTAACGAGCACACCTTGCAAGCTAAACTCGTCGTGCTCCCACCCGGCTTGGAGCGCGACCTCGCCCAGGCGCTGCAATCGGAAGTTGCCATTAAGGTCAAACTAGCAGTCCGACGAGAGAAGCGCGCTCTATGCTGGGCGAAGTGGAACACACGGCTGCCCGTGGCCAGACCAGAGTATGTTTCCAGATCATCCAGGAACTGGCTCCCGAACCGGCGGCCCCGACGGCCACCGTCCGTAATCCTACTACCGACGCTCTGTGTTGGAGTGCAGAAGAGGAGATGGACGTCCGCGCGAAGGCATTTGCAGATATTTTCCATGGGGCGCTCATTGAAACGACCGACGCGGCGGGCCCCTCCCGGGTTACAGAATGCACCGCAGCAGATGTCCGGGAAGCCTTCAACAAGCTCCCACACCATAAGGCGGGCCCTGTCTCGAAGGAGCGCCCACCAGCTACGGGCGACAACCCCGCAGGTGCCTCGGAGGGTGCAGTGGCGGAGATTTGGAAGATCGCTCTTATGTCCGACGCCGCGGCCGAAGCAGTCACGGGCGCCTTCCGCGCTTGCCAGGGGCGGCAATCCACGGCGCAGAGATTCAAGAACGGCGAGACAATTAGCCTCCGCAAGCCACAGGGAGACGATAGCTCCGCGAGGGACCATTATCGCGCGATCAATCTCATCGGCCACGCACGCAAGGCGTACGTCAACACAACCTGCATGCCAGCCCTGCGCCAGCTACATTCGACAGTTTCTGCCGCGCAGTACGGGGCCCTCCCACGGCGCAGCGCGAGAGACGCGATCGCCCTGGTTGATGAGATTATGCGCCGGTGGAAGGACTGCCGCAGCCTCTCCAGACAGCCGGCCCGCATCCTCGCGGCGTGCCTCATGGATTTGGAGAAGGCCTTCGACCTCCTCGACCGCCAGGCCATTTGGGCGCAACTCGAAAAGCTCGCCACCGCCCACCAGGTCAAACTGGCAGCGGAGAAGCTCCACCACGGCACGTGCTACATCATCCGCGACGTCCGCGCCAATTGGCCGCTGAAGAACCTCTAAGTTGGCAAAGGCGTCCGCCAAGGGTCGGTTGAATGCCCTGCACTTTTAATTTATCTCTACGACGCCATCACCACAGCCATCGCGCGACGCTCCGAGGAGGCCCTTTCGAGCAGATTCACGTAGCATACGACCCGGCCTCTCCACCTACAAACACCACCAGCCCCCCTCGCTGAACCAGGACTGTTGCTCGGGGCTCGACGTCTCACAGGTTAAATTTGTAGACGTCCTCATCGCACTCACCATCTGTGCGGACTTCGACCAGGTCAGGCGCTTCCTTGACTTCCTCGCCCGTGTGATCACGGAAGGTGGCATGAAAGTTAATACTCCTAAGACGGAGCTCCTCCTACAGGCCAGGGGAGTCGGCACGCGCCAGCTAGAGTGGCGCATCCGGGCCAACACCACCGGCATCGCCATGCAACCATGCGAGCTGGCCCCGCCGACCACTACGGAGACAGCCGCCGAGCCAGCTCGACGCCGCCGCCTGCGCACCAAGAGCCAGCCGCAGCCGCCTGGGGCATCTTCGAAGCGCGGCTCGGCCAGGCGCCCCGTCCTCAAGCCGCACGCGGTCAAGACCTCCAAGTCGGTGGAGTACCTGGGCGCCCGGCTACGCCCAGACGGCTCGTACCAGGACGAGATCACCAATCGCCTCGCCTCGGCCAACGCCAACCATGGCCGCCTCACGGCCCGCGCGTTCAAGGGATCTACGGCCTCGCCCCCCGCGTTCGCATCTGGGTCACCCTCGTCCGCTCTGCGGCGCTCTATGCACTCGAAGTCGCACCCCTGCGCAAAGGGGAACCCAGTCGATTGGGGCGTTGGCAGACATCTAAACTCCGACATGTCCTTCGACAGCCAGCGCGTGCCACCCGCCTGACCAACTGCGAGGTCCGCCGCAAATGCCGCATTCCCACAGTCGCCAGCGCGCTTCAGGAGCGCCGCATCCGCTGGTGGCAGCACATCATTGGCCCAGGCCTGGCGGAGCCCCCGCCGGAGCACGACCCCACGCTGGCAGCGCGCGCCACTATCTTCGGGCGCCTCTCCTTCGAGAGCCCTAACAGCTCGGAAACAACGGCGCGCCTCCAGCAGGGCCAGCACGACGTCCAGACTCTGTGGAACGCCCTTTCCGGCGACGAACAGCTACGAGCTGCAGAGACCTACGGCGTCGACGACGCGCCGTCGGTGACGCGCCCGTGGCTGCAATGGCTCCACGCCGCCCCTCGCGTCACCATCGCGCGACTACTCAGCTACGTAGCGCCAACAGACGGTGACCAACCAGCAACTGCGCACGAAATGCCGCTTCTCGAGTGCAACATCTGCGACGAGAAGTATAGGGGGCCAAAGGACCTCGCCATCCGCCAGAAGGAGGCGCGCGACGTCGACGCCAACCCTGTCTCGGCCCCAGCAAATTTCTTTCTGAAGCTCCAGTGTCACCGATGTCTCACAACATGCTCTCGCAAAGACTCGTTTATCAAGCACTTCCGCCGCGGCCGCTGTCGCGCAGATGAGGCCCAGTCCCAGGGGGGCGGCGGAGGAGGAGGGGGGGGGCGCGAGGGCCCTCGGCAATCGCAGGTTGGAGAGCGGCCCCAGGGGTCCCAGGCCGCGTCCAGTGCTCGACCAGTTCGTTCAGGTTCAAGGTCTCCCTCAGCCTCAGGCCGCGCCCCCAGCGCCTGCGCCAGTGCCGGCTGCCCACCATGTTTGGGGAGCTCGGGGCCGCGCCAGCCGCCGCCCGCGCGGGCAACCGACGCCCGGCCGAGGGCGCGGGCGACGCCAGCGAGCTGACGAAGCTCAACAGGCTGTTTCCCCAGCTCCTGCTGCAGCACGAGGACCGTAACCGGGGCAGCCTCGCGGACCAGAACATCGTGGCCATCGCGAGGAAGGAGCCCCAGTTCTCGAAGAGATTCGAGGCGGCCCTCCAGGATTGCGACGCACGCGGCAAAGCAGCAAAGGACCAGGCCAAATAGCAGAACGAGACGTACACGGGGAACCCGTCGGGGAAGAAGCCCGACGCCATGCCCCGCAGCGTGGTCCACTACATCGCGGCGGTCTACCAGCAGAAGAAGCAAGAGGTAGATGCCGCAGCGGCCCAGGGCGAGAACCCAGAGAAGGCGCTCGAGACCCTGGCGAAGATCGCCGAGGCGGCGGCCAAAGCGCGGGACATGAGTAAGAGGTTCACGGCTACCCGGTGCTTCAGGGTAGAGACTAAAGATTCCGAGGGTGCCGAGGTTCACAAGTGGATCTTCGCGTGCAACTCCATGGGAGACGTCGCGCGCAGCTTTGAGACCTTGCGGGGGAACCGCTGCCTCCAGGCCGCCGCGATTACGTTGGACTGGGGCCATGCGCCGCGGAGCCAGGCTGCGAGGTCCATCGACTCCCCCGTTTTCAAGGGCGGCGAGGCCAAGGGGCCTAAGCGCCGCAGGCGTTGAGAGCATGCCCCTCCGGCGGGGCGCCCCAATGGGCCAGGACAGCATGGTGGCGAGCGGCAGGGGTGGCCGCGCTCATGGGAGTGACCCGGGTGAACGGCTGAGCGACTGCCGATTGATGCGCTCCTTCTCCTCCTTCTCCTGTCAAACATGTTTGTCGCACAGCCGCACTGCATGGCAAAAACTGTCGGGGCAAATCCTGGCAAATCCGCGTTTCAAACGTAGGGAAGACTTGCGCATTACCTGTGATGTATCGTGCAGCGCTGTTGGCCTGAATGAGTTTCGGTGGCGCCTACCCTCCTCTGTCTCTCTTGTCCTCCCTCCTCTTGGCCTTCCTGCTTCTGTGCCTCCTCCTCGTAGGTGCCACCTCGGCTCTGCCTTGAGTTCGCGGTTGTTGCCTGATTTCGACCCGTCCACTCCAGCCATGCGTCCTGGAGAGGGAGCCACGGGGGATGGCTATTGTTTGACATCGGCGGGTACGCAGCGATCCCACGCCGCCCATCGGTCGCCGCTGATCCGTCGAGCAGGATTCTCGGCATTACTCCTCCTCCTTCCTCCCTCCCCGCATCTTTTTAGTTTCCAGCTGGCCCTCGCCCAGTCCAGCGAGCACGTCACAGGTTGTCAATTAGGCGGGAGAGCTTTCGCTAGCGGCCAGGGCGGCCACGAGGCAGCGCAGAGGCACTGCCAGTGTCGCCTCGACTGCGCGGTCGCAGAGGCGACTGCGAGCCGACAGAGTGCTGTGCGTCGGTGCTCTTCCTTTGCAGCTCCGTTCAAAGCCAGTCCCATGCTCGTGCGAGTATGGCGCCGCCAGTCGGTTTGATTCTTGGTATCCCAAGCACGACCTCAGAGCACTGTGGGGTAGCGACAGCCAAAAAGCTCCTCTGGCGTGCACCGTTGGTTCTGGGGCTTCATTTTTTCTAACTAAGGGCTACGGATCCCATGCGGCACCTCGCTGGCGGATGACGGGAAGCGCGTGCGAGGAACGAGGAACGAGGACCGTTTTTCTCAAAGAATTCTTTATGTGAGGTTCCGCGCTGCACTTCGGCCGGGCGTCGGCGGATCTCAAACAAAAACCGTTTCGCTCGAGACATCCTTCGAAAATCGGCCCCGGAGTCCCACGATATTCCCAAGAGGGGTCCACGAGGGTTCCAAGACGGCCTCAGTTGCTCCCGAGACGGTCCATGAGGCCCCGAAGACGTCCGAAGGTGGCTCCAATACGGCCCAAGAGGCTCCAAACACGCTCCGAAAGCGCCCAAAGAGAACGCCAAAGAGGCAAACAATATCAAATTTCCATGGGGACATGTACATTTTACCATATCCGCTTTTTCTTTTGTTACGCGGTCCTGGACACGCCAGGAGGCTCCCCAAATCGGCCCAGGACGTCCTCAGCGGTCCCCAAGAGGGCCACAAGACCGCCCAAGAGAACCCCAAGACGGCCCAAGATGACCCCCAATCGGCTTTCGAGGGCTCAAGACGGCCCTAAGAGAGCTCCAAGAGGGCCCCCAAAAACTTCCAAAGAGAGCCCCAGGGAACCTCCAAGAGAGCCCCAAGACGATCCAAGGCGTCCAAGACGCTCCGAGACAGCCCAAAAGGGCTCCAAGACGTCCCCAAAACGGCCGAAAGGGGCCCAAAAAAAACCCAAACAAGACCCCCACCAGGGTCATTACGAAGGTCCAGAGACGCCAATTCAAAGAGAGATCGGTAACGCTAGGAGGCCCCAGGAGGCGCCCAAAAGGTCCCAAGAGGCCCCCGAGAGGCCCCCAAGACGCCCCCAAAGGCCCCCAAGAGGCCCAAAAGAGGCCCCAAGAGGACCCAAACGGCCCGCGAGAAGCCTCCCCAGAGAGCCCAACGAACTTTCACTTCGCCTCATTTTCAATACCCCGGCACGGTGGCGGGATGGACCGAAGGTCACTAGATTTTCCATCTCCTTATCCGGAATTCGGGCTACACAGCCCCAAGACAACTCAAGAAGGCCCGAAAACGGCGCCAGAGGGATCCAAGAGGGCTTCATGTTACAGGCCTCTTGGACCGTTTTCGGGTTGGCGCCGGTCGTATTCAAAATCTAATGGGCCGTCTTGGAGATCTTGGAGTGGCCGGAGACGGCCGGAGGCATCCTGGGCATTCCTGGGAGGGGTCAGGGATCTAATCCGTTTAACCGGATCCCCCCTTTGCAAGCCAGCCGGACCGAACCCCAAGGGGACGACGGATAGCTCGGGATCTTGAAGGTGGACGCGGGGGCCGCGTGGTAACTGACCGCTTGCGCACAATACAAGTAACAGCGGTTCCAGGGCGTGAATCTGGCTGCACTTCTGTGGGTCCTGGTCGCCGAGGCATGAACCCAGAGTACTTTGCAATGGGTCGTGGCCTCGGAGGCACCTATCGCGTGTACTTTACGAGGGATCTGCGCCTCGGGAGCGCGAACGTCGTATATTTTCGAGGGATCCTTGTCTCGGGCACCGCGCAGTCCCCTCCTGCTCGCACAAGCGTTCCAGTTTTGACGTCCCCATGAGATGCCACACCTGCAACGAAAGTTCGAACATTCGCTTCCTGTTCTTGTCAGGTCAGGTTCCGGAAAAATGGTCGTTTCGCTCGAGACATCCTCGAAACATCGGCTCCGGAGGGAACTCCGAACTGGCATTGTCTTGGGAGTCGCTCCCGGAGAGCTTCAAAACGGCCCCAAAGAGCTCCAAAAGGCTCCCCAGGGGACCCCCGAAACGGCCCAAGAGACCCCGCAAGAGGCCCCCAAGAGGCGCCTAGAGGCCCCCCAGAGCGCGCAAAGAGGCCCCGGGACTGGCCAAGAGAGCCCCAAAACAGTACAAGAGAACGCCAAGACAGCCCACGAGAGCCCCCACACACCCTCCAGACACTCCCGGACAGTCCAAGAGGGTCACAGAAGCCTCCAAGAGGCTCCCAAAACGCTCCCCACGGGCGCCTCTGGCGTGCACCGTTGGCTGGCGGACTCTGCGCGGTCGTGCCCCATGCTGCGATGCTGGGCTCCTGTCGTTTCCCAGAGGCCTTGCGACAGCACACATAGAGATCAAGCGGGCTCTTCGAGCTCGTTGTTGGGTGATTCGGCCTGTACTGCACGCGCGCTTAGCGTCGCGATCCGTTCGTCGGGAAACAGAACAAGGGGGGACAGCATTGGCTACCACATCTTCCCGCCCTTCCCCCTCCTTTGTCCCCCTGTCTCTCTCTCTCTCTCTCTCGACGGCGACGACGACGACGACGACGCCGGCGCCTCCAGAGCACCCCTGCATCCATGCCTACGTGGCCCCATGCGCCACGCATGCGAGAGCAATACAATCCAAGGGGCCCCCAAGGGCCCAAGGGGCCCCCAAGAAGCCCCCAACAGGCCCCAAGAGAACCCAGCGCGGCGCTAGGAGCAACGTCTTTCTCCAATTGCCGAGTACTGTCCTCTGTCGTCGTCGTCGTCGTCGTCATCATCGCCCTCCGCATTCCTCCTCGTACTCGCCCTCGTTCTCTTCGTCCTCGTCCTTGTGCTTCTCTTCCTCCTCGTTGTCCTCATGATCCTCCTCGCTATCCTCACGTTCCGTAGCCATTTTGGCTCAAGCAAATTTGGTTCAGTCGAGAAAATTGCGACGCTGTCCTCGCGATCCAATTTGCAATCCCCAGAGGCGCGCGGTTACCGATGGCCAAATCAATCGTCATGGAGTTCGCAGCCGTCCTTTGCGCGGCCTTGGTCAGTTGCGTGATCGGCGAAAACGGCGACTGCGACTGCATGACGGAGTGGAACTACGATGGCGATGGCGACGGGGTTATGGAGTCGTACGAGGGCTGCAGCGCCACAGCGGACTGGAACCAGAGCTGATGCTACGTACAGGGCGGTTCCAATTGCAACCAAGCCCTGAACTCCACCGTGGCCGGCGAGATGCGCAAGTGGCGCGAGTGCGGCTCTTGCAACTGCATGACGGAGTGGAACTACGATGGCGATGCCCACGGGGTTAATGAGTCGTACAAGGGCTGCAGCGCCACAGCGGACTGGAACCAGAGCTGGTGCTACGTACAGGGCGGTTCCAATTGCAACCAAGCCCTGAACTCCACCGTGGCCGGTGAGACGCGCAAGTGGCGCGAATGCGGCTCCTGCAACTGCATGACGGAGTGGAACTACGACGGCGATGGCGACGGGGTTATGGAGTCGTACGAGGGCTGCAGCGCCACAGCGGACTGGGACCAGAGCTGGTGCTACGTACAGGGCGGTTCCAAATGCAACCAGGCCCTGAACTCCACCGTGGCCGGCGAGACGCGCAAGTGGCGCGAGTGCGGCTCCTGCAACTGCATGACGGAGTGGAACTACGATGGCGATGCCGACGGGGTTATGGAGTCGTACGAGGGCTGCAGCGCCACGGCGGACTGGGACCAGAGCTGGTGCTACGTGCAGGGCGGTTCCAATTGCAACCAGGCCCTGGACTCCACCGTGGCCGGCGAGACGCGCAAGTGGCGCGAGTGCGGCTCCTGCAACTGCATGACGGAGTGGAACTACGATGGCGATGCCGACGGGGTTATGGAGTCGTACGAGGGCTGCAGCGCCACGGCGGACTGGGACCAGAGCTGGTGCTACGTGCAGGGCGGTTCCAATTGCAACCAGGCCCTGGACTCCACCGTGGCTGGCGAGACGCGCAAGTGGCGCGAGTGCGGCTCCTGCAACTGCATGACGGAGTGGAACTACGATGGCGATGGCGACGGGGTTATGGAGGCGTACGAGGGCTGCAGTGCCACGGCGGATTGGGACCAGACGTGGTGCTACGTGCAGGGCGGCTCCAATTGCAACCAGGCCCTGAACTCCACCGTGGCCGGCGAGACGCGCAAGTGGCGCGAGTGCGGCTCCTGCAACTGCATGACGGAGTGGAACTACGATGGCGATGCCGACGGGGTTATGGAGTCGTACGAGGGCTGCAGCGCCACGGCCGACTGGGACCAGAGCTGGTGCTACGTGCAGGGCGGCTCCAATTGCAACCAGGCCCTGGACTCCACCGTGGCTGGCGAGACACGCAAGTGGCGCGAGTGCGGCTCCTGCAACTGCATGACGGAGTGGAACTACGATGGCGATGCCGACGGGGTTATGGAGGCGTACGAGGGCTGCAGCGCCACGGCGGACTGGGACCAGAGCTGGTGCTACGTGCAGGGCGGCTCCAACTGCAACCAGGCCCTGAACTCCACCGTGGCTGGTGAGACGCGCAAGTGGCGCGAGTGCGGCTCCTGCAACTGCATGACGGAGTGGAACTACGACGGCGATGGCGACGGGGTTATGGAGTCGTACGAGGGTTGCAGCGCCACGGCCGACTGGGACCAGAGCTGGTGCTACGTGCAGGGCGGCTCCAATTGCAACCAGTACCTGAACTCCACCGTGGCCGGCGAGACGCGCAAGTGGCGCGAGTGCGGCTCCTGCAACTGCATGACGGAGTGGAACTACGATGGCGATGCCGACGGGGTTATGGAGTCGTACGAGGGCTGCAGCGCCACGGCGGACTGGGACCAGAGCTGGTGCTACGTGCAGGGCGGTTCCAATTGCAACCAGGCCCTGGACTCCACCGTGGCGGCGAGACGCGCAAGTGGCGCGAGTGCGGCTCCTGCAACTGCATGACGGAGTGGAACTACGATGGCGATGCCGACGGGGTTATGGAGTCGTACGAGGGCTGCAGCGCCACCAGAGCTGGTGCTACGTGCAGGGCGGTTCCAATTGCAACCAGGCCCTGAACTCCACCGTGGCGGCGAGACGCGCAAGTGGCGCGAGTGCGGCTCCTGCAACTGCATGACGGAGTGGAACTACGATGGCGATGCCGACGGGGTTATGGAGGCGTACGAGGGCTGCAGCGCCACGGCCAGAGCTGGTGCTACGTGCAGGGCGGCTCCAATTGCAACCAGGCCCTGGACTCCACCGTGGCTGGCGAGACGCGCAAGTGGCGCGAGTGCGGCTCCTGCAACTGCACGACGGAGTGGAACTACGATGGCGATGCCGACGGGGTCATGGAGTCGTACGAGGGTTGCAGCGCCACGGCCGACTGGGACCAGAGCTGGTGCTACGTGCAGGGCGGCTCCAATTGCAACCAGTACCTGAATTCCACCGTGGCTGGCGAGACGCGCAAGTGGCGCGAGTGCGGCTCCTGCAACTGCATGACGGAGTGGAACTACGATGGCGATGCCGACGGGGTTATGGAGTCGTACGAGGGCTGCAGCGCCACGGCGGACTGGGACCAGAGCTGGTGCTACGTGCAGGGCGGTTCCAATTGCAACCAGTACCTGAACTCCACCGTGGCCGGCGAGACGCGCAAGTGGCGCGAGTGCGGCTCCTGCAACTGCATGACGGAGTGGAACTACGATGGCGATGCCGACGGGGTCATGGAGTCGTACGAGGGCTGCAGCGCCACAGCGGACTGGAACCAGAGCTGGTGCTACGTGCAGGGCGGCTCCAATTGCAACCAGGCCCTGGACTCCACCGTGGCCGGCGAGACGCGCAAGTGGCGCGAGTGCGGCTCCTGCAACTGCATGACGGAGTGGAACTACGATGGCGATGCCGACGGGGTTATGGAGTCGTACGAGGGCTGCAGCGCCACGGCCGACTGGAACCAGACGTGGTGCTACGTGCAGGGCGGCTCCAACTGCAACCAGGCCTTGGACTCCACCGTGGCCGGCGAGACGCGCAAGTGGCTTGAGTGCACCCCGTCGACCCCCTCGCCGACGCCAGCGCCGGACATCGAGAGTGCCTCAGGCGTTGGAGAGCCGACCATGACCGCAGCCATCATCGCTGTTATTCTTTCGACCGCCTGTGCGTGAGGCTGGGGCGCAGAGATAATTATGTGGCAGAGCTTGGGGAGGGTCATGGCCCCTGCGTATGGGGCGGCCATCTAGTACTTGACCATGGGATTATAGTTCGAGCTGGACAGAGTTCTGTTCTGACTGGAGAGTCCGCTCCTGCTGCCCAGTGTCTTCTGCGTTCCAACGGCCGCTTCCCATGTTGCCTTCCAATTTTGCTTGAGATCTGTGGGGAGGGCGACGGGGGGGGGAGGATCCAGCGAGTCCTTTTCGAGGCTCGAAGCTTCGAACCAGTTCTGGGTTTTAATTTTGACTTTGAAAGCGCCGCGAGCCGCGAACTTGCTGGAGCGCAGCTGCGCTGTTGCAGCCCGCGTGAGGCCCACGCGAGGACTTTTGTCTGGGCTGGCTGGTTCATTGTTTGACTCATTGCCTGCTGCTCCTCATCCTTTGCCCCTCGTTTTTGTCCTTTCCCCCCGTTTCCTCTCCGCTCCCTCCTGATCCTCTCCATCCTCTTCATTCGACCAATGCCATGCCCGCCAGCATGCAACGCGCATTTAAGATAGTTTAAGCGCTTGCGAGCCGCACACATGCCCTGGCACGGGATGACGCTGAAAAAAAAAACTCCTCGCTATCCTCACGTTCGCCACGTCGTCCTCGTCATCGACTCCTCGTTGTCCTCGCCTTCCTTTTCTTCTTCGCCCAATACGCCCATTAGACTACAGCAGCGCTTCCCGTTCTTGTCCGATCAGGTTTCCCTCCCCCCCCCTCTCCCTCCTCCGCACTCCTCGAGCCAAACCGATTCGCGAGAATTCCAGGGCCCGCAACTGGGCAAATTGCCCGGGGAGAAAAAAAGGCGACGCCAGGATCCGAGGGTCCTCTTGCCCCCTGCCTCTTCGGGGGCGGCCAAGAGGTGGTTGATGACCATGGGGGAATTTCGTGGCGGAGGCCACGATATCTCCCCAGATCTCATAGTCACCTGCTGTCCTTTCAGTGCGTCTCCTGGTCCCACCCTCCCTACCCCTTATTCTTCCGGACCTTCCGCTCGAACATTCCGCCTCATTGTCGATATGACCCACGGGGTTTCCTTAATTAAATCACCGAGGGTTTCTATGAGTTTCGAGGAATTCTCCCGCAACTTCCACAGAAGGTATGGAAGGTGGAGGTGGAGGGCTCGTCCGCGCACATGGTGCCGGCCATGATCCGAAAGCCCCCCTCTTTCACCGAGCGCGTTCCACTACTCGCAAAGTGCCTACTCGCAAACGTCCGACAAAACACACAGGTCTGCTTCGGTGTAATTGCTCGCAGATGCCCCCCCCTGGCGGATGCAAGCCATTTGCGAGCAGTCCCTTTGCGAGTAGTGGAATGCGCTCGTCTGTGGAAGGTGGAGGTGCAGGGCTCGTCCGCGCGCATGGTGCCGGCCATGATCCGAGCGCCCCCCTTTTGGGCGCCCCTGGATCCCGGCGGCGGCCGCGGCAAAAACGGCGCGAGAGACGAGCTGGCGGCCGGCGGCCGGCGGCTGGCGGCCCCCCCGCACAGGGCGCTCGCCCTCCGACCCTCCTCCTCCTCCTCCTCCTCCTCCTCCTCCTCCTCCTCCTCCTCCTCCTCCTCCTCCTCCTCCTCCTCCTCCTCCTCCTCCTCCTCCTCCTCCTCCTCCTCCCCCTCCCCCTCCTCCCCTCGAGGCCTGGGGGCTTCGACCGACCCTCCTTCCGACATGCGCGGGCGGTGAAAGAGAATCCACTGAACCTCATCTCATAGAAGCCTTACGCGCTTCAAAAGGGAGCCCACCCGGATCTCATCGAACAAGGGGCGGAGGGTCAGGGAGGCAGGCCCGGAAGCATGGTGGGGGAGGGTCGGCAGTCCGTGGCTCCAGAGCTCCCCGCCTTCCGCGGTTAAGTGCTCGTCCCGGATCGAGTTTCGAGGGCGGCCAAGGGCCAAGGGGGGCGGGGGGATGACTGAGGGGGGGGGCGTATCGTGGCCAGGGCCACGAGCGAGCGAGCGAGCGAATCACGCGAACATGCCTGTCGGCTGCTCGGCCCTGTACAGGGCACGGGTGTACAATTCGACTACCAGCCAGACAACAGATATGAAACGTGAGTAGAATGTGGAATTGGGAATTTACGACGATACCGTGGCCAGGGCCACGAGATCGTCGTAAATTCCAGGGCGCCTCTTCTCATTCCAATGTGCGCCCCTTGGCCTCCCCCGGGCCGCGCCCGTTCCTCGGGCCCTGACTTGCGACCCCCCTCCTGCGCGCCCCTCTCTTGGACGCCCCCGAAGTTCTCCCGACCGTCCTGTGGTGTTGGGTCCTCGTTTTGAAGAGGCAGTCCCCGCGTATCCTCCTCCTCCTCCTCCTCCTCCTCCTCCTCCTCCTCCTCCTCCCACTCCTTCTCTCCCTCCTCCCTCCTCCCGTCCCCCCCCTTCACTTCGGCACACCTCTCAGCCGTTTCGTGTCCCCATTGGGAGCTCCACCGAAGGCCCCAGTGGCACGGTTCGCATGCCGCCCCCCCTCCACCTTGGCACACCTCTCAGCCGTTTCGTGGCCGCATCGGGAGCCCCACCGAAGGTCCCAGAGGTATGGTTCGCATGCCGCACCGCCTCCACTATGGCACATCCCTCACACGTTCCGCCCCCCCCCCCTTGGGCACACCCCGCATATGCATCGTGGCCCCATGGGGAGCTCCACCGAAGGCCCCAGCGGCAGCGCCCGCATGGCGGCCCCGCCCCGTTGCGGCGCACCTTTCGCGCTCTTCGTGACCATAGGGAGCCCCACCGAAGGCAGTTGTCCGGTATTCACAACTGCATTTGGTTGGGTCCATCGCCAGGATAATTCGATGTCCCCGGGACGGGATAGCGAGCCCCAGGGCCCAACGTCGCTGCAGAGCGCCCAGATTGAACAAATCATGCCGTCGGAGATCTTGGAGCGTCCTGTTCGGCGGGCGGCAGTGCCCCCCGCGGAGGGCCTGCGTCATGGCCGTGCCCTGCGCCCTTGTCAGCGTCGCGCTGCACACGTGGATGGCCCAGTTCCCAGACTCCGCCGAGCAGTTGGCCAACGACATGGGCCCTCCACCCCTCCGCAGCCCTCGGGGCGGCCCTCGGGCGGCCTTCAGCGACGACGGCGGTGACGACGACGACGACGGCGCCGCCGCTACCGCCGTGCGGCGGCGGGAGAGAGACAGAGGGGTGGCGGTGGGTGGAGGAGGATAGGGAGAGGCATCAGCGGCGGTAGCAGCTGATGAATTTATAATGGAAATGTGTCCGGAGGATTGACAATACCAGGAGGAGGACGAGAATGGCCACAAAGCAATCCGTGAAAACATTTCCGCCGAGTTCAAGTCGTCCGATGAAGCGAGGCAGCAGATCAAGACGGTCAGCATGGCCTGATGGCAGACATCCAAGCCCTCCACAGAGTCGTTGAAAAGCATACTGCGCTCAGTGAACAGCGAGAAAGAGAAACGCTTGCACATGGAACTCTCCCACCAGGCGTACGACCCCTCCACTTCTCGTGCGATTTGGAGTTCCCGGACCAGCTCATGACACATACAGAGCGCATGTCTGAAGTGGATGTATTATCGATGTCCGTTCGGGATGCAAGTTAATCAGTTTGTACCTCTGACCTTGCCCAACAACGTAAGCACGACCTGATCATTCCAACCGTTGGAGCTGAACGATCGGGCTAGCAGCGAGCGCTTCGTGGAACGTTCCTTCCCCATTCACCTTTCGCGGCACAATCCCTTCGAGCTTCTTGGGCTGCACGATAGTGAGCACACCGCTGTGGACGATAAGACACGCATTCCGGATATTTTCCTACCGTATCGGGAAGTCACTGACTAGGCCGCTCGAAGGAAGCATCCATAATTTGAGAAGGATGCCTTCGGGGCAAAGCAACGCATCGCGAACGAGTTGCCTCAGAAATGTCAAACAATCTCGCAAGCAACTATTCGAGATGGCAGTTGGCGACAGGATCAGACGCGATTTGGGGAAGACGCTTCCGAAATCTATGCTGGCTGGTTCGGTGCAAGGCAATCGGTTTCTAGATTCATTTCCTTGTGGTCTCTGAGCCGACGACAGAAAACGTGGTTGCCCCTGTGGGCCAAGGGGTCAAATCGTCGAATTCAGGGGCCCGCCCGTGTTTTCCCATGGGAAGGCGAAACAGTGGGCAAAGACAAGATCATGCCCCAGAAAGGCAAAGGCCAAGGCCAAGGCCAAGGGCAAGATCAAAGAGAGCCCGAAGGACAAATGCAAAGGCAAGGCCGCAGACACTGGGAAAGACCGTGGCAAGAGCAGGGGTCGTTGTCTCAGCCAGTGCAGATCGCGAGGCTCCAAAGGCGGTGGGCGAGGCTGCAGAGCATGAGACGTAGGGCCAAGACATCCCAGGTCCCTCTGCAACGTGAGTTTGGGTGCGCCTGGTGCGCCCCGGGATGCGGCCGCGACGAGGGGGCTTTCTTCACGGGCTTTCTTTCTCGCTGTGGAGAGGGCGAAAAAGGAATATACCTATTCGACCCAGTTGCTCGACGGTCTTGCGTTCCCAAGGTTCGCCAGGTATGCTGGTGTGTCGAAGCTCTTCTCCGACATCACAGCAAGTATGCGCGCGGCTGGAATTGGTGTCCGTCGCTTGAATATGTTGGTTCTGCCTTGGAATGTTGAAGGAAAAGAGGGGAGACCGTGGAGATCATATTTCAACGACCCCACCCGAAACAAACGCAATATCGATCCAGATCAGCAGTAGTGGGAGCATTTTTGTGTGGATCATCCATGCGCTACTCTGCATACTGTGCATGGTCGATGAATGGGCATCATGATGGAAACGTATTGGTCAGACGTGTGCTGTGAATTTGGAATTTGTGTATCCCAGCTCGCTTGAAACACGGTTAATCCAGACCCGTGCCATGGAGCTTCAGCGTTTGCATGGCGGAGCTCCGGGATCGAACAGGAGTGGTGGTACCCTCAGGCAGGGATGCTGGACTCGCTGCGTTAATCAAGTTTAGGCTTCGCGATTGGTACTTCGTTACGTTTTCCTTTGC